TTCCAAAGATAAAGAGAAGATCCTTAAAGCAGCAAGAGACAAGAAGTCCCTGACTTTCATGGGGAGGAATATTAGGGTAATAGCAGACCTCTCCACAGAGACCTGGCAGGCCAGAAAGGGCTGGCAGGATATATTCAGGGTCCTAAATGAGAAGAACATGCAACCAAGAATACTTTATCCAGCAAGGCTCTCATTCAAAATGGAAGGAGAGATAAAGAGCTTCCAAGACAGGCAGGAACTGAAAGAATATGTGACCTCCAAACCAGCTCTGCAAGAAATTTTAAGGGGGACTCTTAAAATTCCCCTTTAAGAAGAAGTTCAGTGGAACAATCCACAAAAACAACGACTAAATAGATATCATGATGACACTAAACTCATATCTGTCAATAGTAACTCTGAACGTGAACGGGCTTAATGACCCCATCAAAAGGCGCAGGGTTTCAGACTGGATAAAAAAGCAGGACCCATCTATTTGCTGTCTACAAGAGACTCATTTTAGACAGAAGGACACCTACAACCTGAAAATAAAAGGTTGGAGAACCATTTACCATTCAAATGGTTCTCAAAATATACCCTAAAAACTATAGAACACTTCTGAAAGAAATTGAGGAAGACACAAAGAGATGGAAAAATATTCCATGCTCATGGATTGGCAGAATTAATATTGTGAAAATGTCAATGTTACCCAGGGCAATTTAAACGTTTAATGCAATCCCTATCAAAATACCATGGACTTTCTTCAGAGACTTAGAACAAATTATTTTAAGATTTGTGTGGAATCAGAAAAGACCCCGAATACCCATGGGAATTTTAAAAAAGAAAACCATATCTGGGGGCATCACAATGCCAGATTTCAGGTTGTATACAAAGCTGTGGTCATCAAGACAGTGTGGTACTGGCACAAAAACAGACACATAGATCAATGGAACAGAATAGAGAACCCAGAAGTGGACCCTGAACTTTATGGTCAACTAATATTCGATAAAGGAGGAAAGACGATCCACTGGAAGAAAGACAGTCTCTTCAATAAATGGTGCTGGGAAAATGGGACATCCACATGCAGAAGAATGAAACTGGACCACTCTCTTGCACCATACACAAAGATAAACTCAAAATGGATGAAAGATCTAAATGTGAGACAAGATTCCATCGGGATCCTGGAGGAGAACACAGGCAACACCCTTTTTGAACTCGGCCACAGTAATTTCTTGCAAGATACATCCACGAAAGCAAAAGAAACAAAAGCAAAAATGAACTATTGGGACTTCATCAAGATAAGAAGCTTTTGCACAGCAAAGGATACAGTCAACAAAACTAAAAGACAACCTACAGAATGAGAGAAGATATTTGAAAATAACATATCAGATAAAGGGCTAGTTTCCAAAATCTATAAAGAACTTATTAAACCCAACAGCAAAGAAACAAACAATCCAATCATGAAATGGGCAAAGACATGAAGAGAAATCTCACAGAGGAAGACATAGACATGGCCAACATGCACATGAGAAAATGCTCTGCATCACTTGCCATCAGGGAAATACAAATCAAAACCACAATGAGATACCACCTCACACCAGTGAGAATGGGGAAAATTAACAAGGCAGGACACCACAAATGTTGGAGAGGATGCGAGAAAAGGGAACCCTCTTACACTGTTGGTGGGAATGTGAACTGGTGCAGCCACTCTGGAAAACTGTGTGGAGGTTCCTCAAAGAATTAAAAATAGACCTGCCCTACGACCCAGCAATTGCACTGTTAGGGATTTACCCCAAAGATTCAGATGCAATGAAACGCCGGGACACCTGCACACCGATGTTTCTAGCAGCCATGTCCACAATAGCCAAACTGTGGAAGGAGCCTCGGTGCCCATCGAAAGATGAATGGATAAAGAAGATGTGGTTTATGTATACAATGGAATATTACTCAGCCATTAGAAACGACAAATACCCACCATTTGCTTCCACGTGGATGGAACTGGAGGGTATTATGCTGAGTGAAGTAAGTCAATCGGAGAAGGACAAACAGTGTATGTTCTCATTCATTTGGGGAATATGAATAATAGTGAAAGGGAATAGAAGGGAAGGGAGAATAAATGTGTGGGAAATATCAGAAAGGGAGACAGAACATAAAGACTTCTAACTCTGGGAAATGAAATAGGGGTGGTGGAGGGGGAGGAGGGCGGGGGTTCGGGGTGAATGGGTGACGGGCACTGAGGGGGACACTTGACGGGATGAGCACTGGGTGTTATTCTGTATGTTGGTAAATTGAACACCAATAAAAATTAATTTATTAAAAAAATAAAAATAAAAAATGGATTCTAAAAAAAAATGGATTCTAAACAGGGATTTGACAAATGAATCAGTTGTCCTAGAGGATAGGGCAGGAGAGATTTCTAGGCATGGGATGCAGCATGAAATCACACACAGAGAAAGGATTATCAGAAAGGAATAAAATGGCTCAAGAGAAAATATCTTGGCACCCTGAAATGAGAACTAGGAGGAAATGAAAGAGGGATGCAAGCAGGTGGAATGCACTTAAGAATTTCAGTTGAGACTGAATTTCATAGGGGAAAAAAAACTAGTCAAAATAATGAGAGTGGGGATTGCTGTGCCTCTAACAATGATACAGAGGATTTCTGGCAACAGTCTTTTGAAAATACTGGCAGGAAGAATACAGAAAAGCAGAAATAATCAAAATACAACAAAGGAATTTTGCTCATGAAAGTGATAGGGAGAAAGAAGTTGGTGGTACTATAAAATAAAAATATGAAAGTATTTACCAAAATCCCAGACACAGGAAAAATGATTATCCCCTTCTAACAAGACAATAGCAGCAACTACAATATCTATAGTAGTATGTCAGATATTATGACTAATACTACTAATAAAGATAGTAGTATAGCAACAACTATATGTCTACAGTGTGCTAAGCCTTTTATTCAATGCTTTAAACATGTCACTCAATTCAGATGATCTTCTATCATTTTCATTTTACAGATGAGGAAACAAAAACTTAGAAATTTAAATTACTAGCTCAAGGTTACAGAACTAAGAAGTTATACAGCTAGAATTATAACTTTGTAATATCTAACTAAGAAGGTTGTGCTCTATTGGCTAACTTCATCAATAGCAGTAGTGACTAAAAGTATGTATGAAATTATAGACATAGATGAACTAGCATTTAGACTTAAGAAATCAAAGCTGATTTAAGTTTCACTCTATATTTCATTAGAGTTGTTCCAGATTATTTTGACCAAAAATGTTTACCAGATATATATAGTCTTGTAAAGTATCCTCAATGTAAGAACTAATAACCTAAAAATTAGGAATTAACAAAACCAATGTAAAACTGACATCATTTTATTTAAACATATTCTTTTTTTTTTTTTAAGATTTTATTTACTTATTCTTGAGAGACACACACACACACACGAGAGAGAGGGAGAGAGAGAGTCAGAGACACAGGCAGAGGGAGAAGCAGGCTCCACGCAGGGAGCCCGATGCGGGACTCGATCCCTGGTCTCCAGGATCAGGCCCTTGGCTGAAGGCGGCGCTAAACTGCTGAGCCACCCGGGCTGCCCAATTTAAACATATTCTTGATAAACTTCTCAAAATCTTTCTGAAACTGAATCTACATTTTAAATAAAATTTAGAAAAAATTCTGTTAAAGGGAAATCAAAAACTAGTGATAGCACTGAAATGATCTGATTTCAGAACTGTCCTTATTTGTGACATTTCTCATATTTCCAATTACAAATTTTCCAAATCTTAATATTATTCCACATTATTTACAGGTTAGTAAATATGACTCTAATCACAAATGTGTTTTGTGAGCTGAAATCAAGAATTGGATGCTTACCCAACTGAACAACCCAGGTGCCATGACCCCTGAATAATATTATACAAATAATATTCTGGGTCCTATAGACATACATTTTTCTCCCATTCAATGAACACTAACAGGTTTGTATGGTTTGTAATAACACTTGGGAAAGATATATGCTCTTGAGTCTTACTGAAATTCCTCAGAGTTACAGAGAAATGGAATTCTACAGTGTAATTTCAAATATAAGATTTACAGCATAGTTTCCTTACAAGGAAGGAACATGTACTTCTCCATGTATATAATCTCAACTTCAAAAAATGTTTTCTTGATCCTTCCTCCTTTCTTTCACTTTGTAACTTCTTACAAAAGTAGACAATATTCACCAACCAACAAAGCAAATTAGCTCAAATTAAAACCTTGGAGATACTTTTGTTCCCTCTCTCTTGTTCTCCACGAGTGCCAACTCCCATCCATTCTAGTCATTCAATGATGCTCTGCTGCCTACCACATCAAGACCAGACTACTTAGCATGACATTGAAGGCTCTGAGATGATCATATTACAGCTCCAACCCAACAGTTGACCACTCTTCTATCTATCTGCCACTGTGCTTTGCCTATATTATTTGTTCACATGCCTTTTTTCCATGTCCATAAAAATATTATGCTCATGCTTCACCCTTTGGCTTCTTTCTATTCTTTATACATTCAAAAGGAACTTTTTCTCTCCTCTAAATTACAGTATATTATCTGTTTGTGTAGCACTTCTCATATTCATCCTTATTTTATAAAGTATGTGTATATATGTTTTTTCTTACCTTCTAGATTTTAAATGCTTTCAAGCAAGAACTGTCTCACAATAATTTTGATTTCATCAAAAGCCCATGGTATAGTTCCTTTGCAAACAATATACACTTAAGAGTTTATGAAATGAATGAATGAACATACTATCTGATAAGAGATGTGAAAACTTCAATAACCCAGCAATGTTAAAAAATAAAGTAAAAAATGGGTCGTTAAATGTACTATATTATCAAATATAAGCTAAAGGAAACTATCCCCTTGCTTTTTGAGTATCACTAAACAGAAAAAATACAATTAATGCTTATTTAATCTTATCATTTAAAATATAATACTCAGGAAAGAAGTAGTCTCAAAATAGTTACTTATCAATTACCTTTGCTTGCACTTTCTACATGTTCCAGTTCTTCAGGAAATTTCAGGATATCCCGGTATTTGTCCTCACAAATTTCAGCAATAAAATGCAAGAGGGTTGTTTTCTGATCTGCTGACTTAGTATCTCTGATCTGGAATGAAATACAGCATTTTTAGTATATTTTGGATAATGTAAATATAAACTTCATTCTTAAACAAGTGAAATGAATGAATTCAATTTATTACAAATGATTTAACATTTTTTAAAAATGAAGGGGTGCCTGGGTGGCTCAGTTGGTTAAGCGTCTGACTCTTGGTTTTGATTTAGGTCATGATCTCAGGGTCATTAGATTGAGTCTCGTGACAGGCTCCATGCTCAGTGTGGAGTCCATTTGAGATTCTCTCCCTTTCCTTCTGCCCCTCCTCTGCTCATGCTCCCTCTTTCACTCTCTAAACTAAATAATAGAATCTTTAACAAAAATTTTTTTAAGTTAGGCGTAAGCTTCCTAATAGGGTCTAGCAACAATGCTCTAGATTTTAAAAGGAACACCATGATTTTAAAATACAAAAGATGACCAAAATCAGCAAAAGTTTAAATTTTATATACATATTTTGAAATGCCTGTTATTATGGCAAAATGAACTATACTCTGAGAAAAGAGTATTAATTTAAGTATTGATAATCATATTCAAAGTTAATGTGTGCTTATATTATCAGCATTTGTACTTTGCTTTATCATAGAAATTTATTCTGAGAAGCTAGAATTTTTTGTGAGCTTGTATCTATTTGTAGCCAGTATTGATGAAAATTAATATTAAAAAGTACATTTGACCCTCCTTTACTTGTATAGGCCATCAAATAAGAAAAAAATGAAAAGTTCTTAGGCTGATTTATAAATAGAATCTAACCACACAATTGTGATAATATATATTTTTTCTACTTATGGTATTTCATTTCAAAGAGATACTTTTAGAAAAGAGATGCTATAGTTAGAATGATAAAAATCTTTAAAGTATAGGACAAAAAAATCTATGATGAAAATCTAAGTGTTATCTTTAATATAAAACTCATACTAGACTAAGCTGTGAAAAAATCACGGATTTGCCTACAAACAAAGGATAAAAATGGAAAAGAGTATTGGGTTTTCTCATTCTATTGGGTGTTTTAATTCTTTAATCCTGAAATGATAGGTTTGCCCACTGTTATGCATACTGATTTTGGGTTTTTAGCTTTAAGGATTACTCTCTTTAGAATAAATTCTTCATAGACAGGTTTATGAAAAGGCTGTGGAATATACTTAGGTAATTAACATAATTTTAAAAAAAGATTTTATTTATTTGAGACAGAAAGAGAGAAAGGAGCATGAACAGGGGGAGAGGGAGAAGGAGACTGGATGTAGGGATTGATTCCAGGACCTGAGATCATGACCTGACCTGAAGTCAGATGTTTAAGTGACTGAGTCACGCAGGTGCCCCCAGAATATTTATTTATTTATTTATTTATTTATTTATTTATTTATTTATTTATTTAAAGATTTTATTTATTTATGAGAGAGAGAGAGAGGCGCGCAGAGACACAGGCAGAGAGAGAAGCAGGCTGCATGCAGAGAGCCCGATGTGGGACTCGATACCTGGTCTCCAGGATCACGCCCTGGGCCAAAGGCAGCACTAAACCCCTGACCACCCAGGCTGCCCCAGAAAATTTAATACCCACTGTTTTAGTGACTAAGAAAAGAAATTTACATTTAAATCAATCAGACCCATACTGAATCTCTTTTGTACTATAGCTCTTTAACAATCATTTTACTCTATCTCTCTTTCTCTCAAATAAATAAAATATTTAAAAGAAAAAAACTGTTTTCTTTTATCATGTCCAAATGATATGGAGAACGTAAAAGAAATACGTTTAAGGCTCAAAAGAAACAACCACGGCAGAAATGATGTTGACAGTTCAGATGGTCACAAGTCACAGTGATTTCTCAGAATTTCTGGGATTACTTTAATCCACAAAAGTGAAACATTTAACATTTTGCATTATCTTTTTTTTATTTTTTTAACTTATTTTTTCTTGGTGTTCAATTTACCAACAAACAGAATAAGCCCCAGTGCCAAGCACCCATTCACTCCCACCTCCCGCCCTACTCCCTTCCACCACCCCTAGTTCGTTTCCCAGAGTTCGGAGTCTTTATGTTCTGTCTCCCTTTCTGATATTTCCCACACATTTCTTCTCCCTTCCCTTATATTCCCTTTCACTATTATTTATATCCCCCAAATGAATGAGAACATATAATGTTTGTCCTTCGCCGATTGACTTACTTCACTCAGCTTAATACCCTCCAGTTCCATCCACATTGAAGCAAATGGTGGGTATTTGTCATTTCTAAAGCTGAGTAATATTCCATTGTATACATAAACCACATCTTGTTCATCCATTCATCTTTCGATGGACACCGAGGCTCCTTCCACAGTTTGGCTATTGTGGACATTGCTGCTATAAACATTGGGGTACAGGTGTCCTGGCGTTTCATTGCATCTGTATCTTTGAGGTAAATCCCAACAGTGCAATTGTTGGGTCGTAGGGCAGGTCTATTTTTAACTCTTTGAGGGACCTCCACACAGTTTTCCAGAGTGGCTGCACCAGTTCACATTCCCACCAAAAGTGCAAGAGGGTTTCCTTTTCTTGCATCCTCTCCAACATTTGTGGTTTCCTGCCTTGTTAATTTTCCCCATTCTCACTGGTGTGAGGTGGTATCTCATTGTGGTTTTGATTTGTATTTCCCTGATGGCAAGTGATGCAGAGCATTTTCTCATGTGCATGTTGGCCATGTCTATGTCTTCCTCTGTGAGATTTCTCTTCATGTCTTTTGCCCATTTCATGATTGGATTGTTTGTTTCTTTGGTGTTGAGTTGAATAAGTTCTTTACAGATCTTGGAAACTAGCCCTTTATCTGATATGTCATTTGCAAATATCTTCTCTCATTCTGTAGGTTGTCTTGTAGTTTTGTTGACTGTATCCTTTGCTGGGCAAAAGATTCTTATCTTGATGAAGTCCCAATAGTTCATTTTGTTTCTTTTGCCTTCGTGGATGTATCTTGCAAGAAGTTACTATGACCAAGTTCAAAAAGGGTGTTGCTTGTGTTCCCTCTAGGATTTTGATGGAATCTTGACTCACATTTAGATCTTTCATCCATTTTGAGTTTATCTTTGTGTATGGTGAAAGAGAGTGGTCTAGTTTCATTCTTCTGCATGTGGATGTCCCATTTTCCCAGCACCATTTATTGAAGAGACTGTCTTTTTTCCAGTGGATCGTCTTTCCTCCTTTATCGAATATTAGTTGACCATAAAGTTCAGGGTCCACGTCTGGATTCTCTATTCTGTTCCATTGATCTATGTGTCTGTTTTTGTGCCAGTACCACACTGTCTTGATGACCACAGCTTTGTAGAACCACCTGAAATCTGGCATTGTGATGCCCCCAGATATGGTTTTCTTTTTTAAAATTCCCATGGGTATTCGGGGTCTTTTCTGATTCCACACAAATCTTAAAATAATTTGTTCTAAATCTCTGAAGAAAGTCCATGGTATTTTGATAGGGATTGCATTAAACGTGTATATTGCCCTGGGTAACATTGACTTTTTCACAATATTAATTCTGCCAATCCATGAGCATGGAATATTTTTCCATCTCTTTCTGTCTTCCTCAATTACTTTCAGAAGTGTTCTATAGTTTTGAGGGTATAGATCCTTTACCTCTTTGGTTAGGTTTATTCCTAGGTATCTTATGCTTTTGGGTGCAATTGTAAATGGCATTGACTCCTTAATTTCTCTTTCCTCAGTCTCATTGTTAGTGTATAGAAATGACACTGATTTCTGGGCATTGATTTTGTATCCTGCCATGCTACCAAATTTCTGTATGAGTTCTAGCAATCTTGCGGTGGAGGCGTTTGGGTTTTCTATGTAGAGTATCATGTCATCGGCGAAGAGGGAGAGTTTGACTTCTTCTTTGCCAATTTGGATGCCTTTTATGTCTTTTTGTTGTCTGATTGCTGAGGCTAGGACTTCCAATACTATGTTGAATAGCAGTGGTGAGAGTGGACATCCCTGTCTTGTTCCTGATCTTAGGGGAAAGGATCCCAGTGCTTCCCCATTGAGAATGGTATTTGCTGTGGGTTTTTCGTAGATGGCTTTTAAGATGTTGGGGAATGTTCCCTCTATCCCTACACTCTGAAGAGTTTTGATCAGGAATGGTTGCTGTATTTTGTCAAATGCTTTCTCTGCATCTAATGAGAGGATCATATGGTTCTTGGTTTTTCTCTTGCTGATATGATGAATCACATTGATTGTTTTACTAGTGTTGAACCAGGCTTGTGTCCCGGGGATAAATCCTACTTGGTCATGATGAATAATTTTCTTAATGTACTATTGGATCCTATTGACTAGTATCTTGTTGAGAATTTTTGCATCCATGTTCATCATGGATATTGGTCTGTAATTCTCCTTTTTGGTGGGGTCTTTGTCTGGTTTGGGAATTAAGGTGATGCTGGCCTCATAGAACGAATTTGGAAGTACTCCATCTCTTTCTATGTTTCCAAACAACTTTAGTAGAATAGGTATGGTTTCTTCTTTAAACGTTTGATAGAATTCCCCTGGGAAGCCATCTAGCCTTGGACTATATCATAATTAAAGGATCTATCCAACAAGAGGACTTAACAATCCTCAATATATATGCCCCAAATGTGGGAGCTGCCAAATATATCAATTAATAGCCAAAGTGAAGAAATACCTAGATAATAATACACTTATACTTGGTGACTTCAATCTAGCTCTTTCTACACTCAACAGGTCTTCCAAGCACAACATCTCCAAAGAAACGAGAGCTTTAAATGATACATTGGACCAGATAGATTTCACAGATATCTACAGAACTTTACATCCAAACTCAACTGAATACACATTCTTCTCAAGTGCACATGAAAGTTTCTCCAGAACAGACCACATACTGGGTCACAAATCGGGTCTGAACCGAAACCAAAAGATTGGGATCGTCCCCTGCATATTCTCAGACCATAATGCCTTGAAATTAGAACTAAATCACAATAAGAAGTTTGGAAGGACCTCAAACACATGGAGGTTAAGGACCATCCTGCTAAAAGAT